TGCACAAAATTTACTGGACTGCTCTTGGGACTGACACTTCCAGGGGAAGAGAAAGAGGCATGATGGGCCCAAGAAGGTAGCCTGTAATATATATAGTCACAACAAGACTTCAGCCAACTCCTGGGATTGGGTTAGGGAAAGAGGCCCACCTTTATACTGGATACGAGATGGCTGTAGGAAGGGACTCCACTCTAGGAAAGGAGGCTGACTACGCCTGAGGGAAATTCCCAGAGAGAGTTGAAAGCTGATGGCTGTCAGCAAGTAAAATTTCTAGCTTCCAGGAGAATAGGATCCTTGGTCATGGAGAGACAATCTAAGCAGTGTGGCACTGGATCCAGAAGTCATGGAGGATAGATGTCATTCTTGGGTAAGGTGCTCGCTGCGAATGTGAGGTGACTGACAATTGAGATAACCTTTGGTTGCTACCCCAACCCCCACATAGATATTCCTGTACCCCATACTTGTCTGCCATTCCATCTGCTATTATCTTGGCAGAGGGATGAAACAGCAGAATACAGAGAACACAAAGATCAATTCTTTGCTTTTGAGTTTCAAAAGGTTTGGCCTTGGCAAAGACAACATATCTGAAAGAAAGCAGGCTGTGTAAGAAGAGAAGGTTTCTCAACTTTTCCCAGACTAGATAAAGATTTCATGGGCTTTGGCAAGGAAAAGCAGGAAGAAAAATAGAGACCTTGGAGGACTGTGAATTCCTGGGGTGGAACTCGGGAGCTCAGAGCACAGGAATGAAAGAGACCACACCGTCCCTGACCTCAAGGAATTTACAGACTAGCAGAGAAGATACATTCAACAAATAAACGCCATAAAGCAAATTGACTATTATGATAGAACATACAGGAAGGGAACTGAACTAGGCATACACGTCTGGGAATGCTTTGCTAAAAAAGAGATTTAGTTGGGAATTTGTAGCATAAGTAGATGCTGTCTAAATGGAGAGTAGAGAGAAAAAGTGTTTCAGGGAATAGGAGCACATGTAGAAAATTGTGAAGGAAGAGCATGTGGCATGTTTTAGAAGTCAAGAGAAGTCCAAGATGATTATTGGAATGGAGAAAGAAGAGGAACAGTAGGAAAGGTAGGCAAATTCATTAGGAATTTAGTGCTGTAATCGATAGGGAAGGGATAGTGGTCAGAACTCCAGATGAGCCCTGGGAATGTATGGAATCAAATAGATTGGAGAGGTAGCACTGATGAGACTTGGTGATTGATTGCTGTGGGAATGAGAAAGAGCTTGTGGCAAATATGAAAGATCTAGTAGGATTGTCAGGAAATATCAAGTACCTGGTTTAGGATGATGACCAAGAACTTTACAGTAACACAAATTCTCTGAGAATATACTGTAAATAATAGCTCTATATTCATACATACCTATAAATCAGGTTATTTCAGAAGACCTCTCTGCCTTTGGTCTTTCCACTCCTATGGAGTTATTTATGCATCTTCATAGACCTAGAGAGAAAAACCATGACTATGAGTTTACTTAGGGATTCCATTCATGTGCAGTGACTTCCTAGAAGGAAGGGATTTGCTAAAGGGAGGTGGAAATAGGAGACTAGAGGGGAGGAAAGGTTTGGGGGGTCCTAAGGAAGTTTACTTTTTTGGCAGCTCAAGGTTATACTTTCTGGTGAGCTTCACTTATTGATTGACTCGTTCAAACTCTTTTACTGAGTACTTATTATATTAAAGGCACATTGCATGCAAGACCTTGTGAAAGATCTAAGGATGACTAGCAATTAGAGGGCACAGACTCCCTTTGGTAGCTCTTTCAAGTCTGCCTTGGAATCGCTAGTCCTAAAGGATCACCCCTAGTGTTGGACTGAAAGTAAGGAACTCTTCAAATTAGATCGGAAATCATTCAATATACATTCCTTCCCTCATTTGGGAGATCTCTTGATCTCCTCCAAGTGCGAATCTTCCTGCTTCTCATGGAGATTAAGCTCTATATCAGCTATTTCAACTCTTTTCTGCTCCAAGTCCTCAAACAATGCTACTCGGGGATCCTTTTGATTTTTCTGACCTTTAGCCTGATAATATTAATGCCATTAGCTAACATGGCCATTTCCCATTCTGTCTTACTCCTGTACGTCATCATGAGTGTATCTCAAGCAAGAAGACCCTTGTTGCTTCAGACCTTCAGAACCCTTGACTCAGGCCTCCCCCTGCCTTTTTCAGCAAGCCCATGGTAGCCTATAGACAGCCATTAAAGCACGTGCTCATGAATTTGGACATTGCTTGTTTTCTCCTTCCTTCTCTCAATGGCACAACTTCTGGTCACTCCTGTTCCATTCCCTACTCTTTCCTGCTTTCCTTCAGTGTCCCCTCTTTCTCCTCTACTTTTCTTACTGGGTAAGTCATTAAGGGAAGCAGAGATCTGTAGTAATGAGAGCTGGGCAGGAGTTGAATACTCTTTCCAACTTTCCACTGGAAATACTTTAGATCATTGACTACTGAGATACGTAGAATTGTATTAAAATAATAAAATATTGCAATTAGCTTGGTTGGCCATTCCCTAGGTATATAACTTTAGGTGAGTTATCTCTCTAGGCTTCAGTTTCTTGTATGTATAATGAAACTAGTATGTGATTGATGAGTCAAGATGGATTTATTAGGAAGCCTAGGAAGCTTAGCTAAAGCTGCACAGATCCCTTTCCAGAACCTTGTAAAAGGCCATGGTAATTTTGTATTATTTTCTTAAAGATCCATCCTTCCCCAAACCCTATCAACTTCAAGTCCCATTGAACCTAGCTCTGCCTCTACTGGTAGGGTTTTGTAAGAATGAAATAGACAATGTATAGGAAACACTTAGCACAAGCCCTTGAAGCTATTGCTGTCACCATTATCATTATTAATACTACTATATTACTTATCTATACAAAGGATTGTAAAAGCTCAATCAAAATTAAAAATCAACACCTGAAACTGATGTAACATTGTGTGTCAACTATATTCAAATGAAAAAACTTAAACTACTTAGTGTCAAACTTTAAAAGCTATAAGAACAAATGAAAAACATACATTTTCCAGTTTTTATAAGGCTTTATTGTAGTATATAGTAACAATATTTTTCAAACATTTAAAATTTAATTTTAATTATAAAAGGTAGTGTATGATTGTTCTAAAAATCCAAACAGTATAGTTTAATAAAAATCTTGAGTTAAAAATAAAAATCTCCTTTCTATTTCTCCCTTCCAGGCTATTGTTCCTCCCTCCCCAGAAACATTCTCCTCCTAGTGTAATCAGAAAATAAGACTTTGATTATGTTTTTCTGAATCTTAAAATGTACTTTCCATTTAAATGTAAAAATTCCTGGGGCACCTGGGTAGCTCAGTTGGTTAAGCATCTGACTTGGGCTCAGGTCATCATCTCGTGGTTCATGAGTTCAAGCTCCTTGTAAGGCTCTGTGCTGACGGCTTGGAGCCTGGAACCTGCTTCGGATTCTGTCTCCCTCTTTCTGCCCCTCCCCCGCTCATGCTCTGGCTCTCTCCCTCTCTCTGTCTCAAAAGTAAATAAACTTAAAAAAATTTTAATGTAAAAATTCCTATCTCACAAACAATACAAAAGTAATTTTTTGTTTTTTTTTAAAGTCCCGCCTTAAAAAAAAATAAAAAATAAAAAAATAAAGTCCCCCCTTCTGTTGAAAACTGGCACAGAAAAGCCATACCAAATAGGTAACTAAAGAGAACACACACACACACACACACACACACATACACTCTCATAGTCCTAGTAGTTTTCACAAATGAAAATACCCAGAATCTGAGGAAACCAGGACTGTCTTCTTACGGGTTTTGCCAATTCATGAAAGACCATTATTCTAAGTGTTATCAGAGAACACGTGCTAAATGACAATGCACACATTACCTCGGTGTCAACCTGTGCTGAAGACCAGTGCTTGAGCCTCGTTCTACACAGGTCAGGGTGTGAAAGGCAACGGAAAGTAACCCCAGATAAGGCAAGGCAGGTGGTATCGGCTTTGTGTCTCTTTTATCTTTCTGCTTCTTAGTTGTAAATATTATGCATTAAGCTCCTGTATTGAGGAAGAAATAAAAATTAGTGTTGCTTCTGTATGCATTTTTTTAAAAATTGAAGAGTATGCCAACCATAGAGACTGACACATGAGCTATTAGAAAATTCCTTCAAATATGTGTACATGTACTATAAAAATGTGCATTATGGAAACTGTAAAGACCTCTTCATAAATTTTTTAAGTACTTTTTTGCTACTACTATAAATACCCCTTTGGAATTATTTCCAGTGCTTGGTGGAACATTCAGCCTGCAAAACACATTCACCTGAGAAAGAGTTAAATAGATAACATGTTTAAAAATCTCATAATGTAAAGGAGAGATGGAAAAAATCCCCGAATATTATTTATTCAAGACCTTTGTGTCATATTCTTCCAAAAAATAATTATTTTTCAGAGAGAACATAGATGGTTGTTCTTATAATTTAATTCTTAAGGAGTTTTCATAAATACTTTTTAAAATGAACATGTTTTATGTGCTTTCTAGTTTAACCTATTAAGTGAAATTTAAAATTAAAGAACAGCTACAGTTCATAGTGAAATCATTAACATTGGATTTACACAGAATTTTTCATGTCTATTATTTATAAAATGTATATATTTATAGCTTAGTGTAATAAATGTGAATAAATTAAACTATACATACTATTTTCTCTAATTTATGAACTTGATTTGTTTGTTGTACTATTACCTACATAAATAAACGAGTTTAATTTAAATATTAAGTTGTAAGGGAAATATATGTCAGGTCAGGTAACAAAGAACCTAAATTGAATAATTTAATTCCAGACCATCTTAAGACGTATACAAATTCCATGGTAAAAATATGGTTGGCTTGTTTTGCTTTGAATATATTGTAGCACAAAATCTATTTTTTTCTTAAGCAATTATATGCTTAGTAGATTTCTCTCTCGCACATGCACACACATACATTTTACTAGTTATTTCTTTTTTCTGCCAGTTTGGTTTGTACTCACAAACCATAGCTAAAGTGGAACTTGCAAGTTGAAGTCCAACCAGTACCAGAATTTGATTGCAAGCAATGAAAAGAAACTCTGCCTAATTAAACAGAGAAGAAATTTGTTGGAAGAATACAGGTTAGCTCACAGAATCAAAAGGAAAGCTGCTGAGCAGCCCCAGGAACGGCAGACCTAGAGCAGTTCTAGGGATTAGGTAAAAAGGATCAGTGGACAATGTCTGCGGGAAGCTCACTGGAATGAATCTACACCCTGTCTCAGCAAGATTCTGCTCAGGATCCAGATTCCCAGAATGAGAGTTCACAAGGCCACACCTTGACTGGGACATTCTGAACATCTTCATTGAAATTATGACGAAGAAGGAGTTGGAAAGACATAGATCTCCAGAGGTAAATCAAGGCATGGTTACCAAAAACAGGAAAAGATTCTGGGAGTTGAGAGTAGTACATGTTCTTAGATTCTGAAATATAACATACTGTAACTACCATAACATTTATTTGTAATTGCTATCTATGGCTTTGATCATTAATAGTTAGAACACGTGGGAGGATATTGTAGCCAGCAAGGCTTTTGTTAAGAATAATAAATAAGGGAGTGCCTGGGTGGCTCAGTCAGTTAAGTGTCGGACTCCTGGTTTCAGTTTAGGTCATGATCTCACAGTTTGTGAGTTCGAGCCCTGTGTCAGGCTCTGCACTACAGCGTGGAGCTTGCTTGGGATTCCCTCTCTCCCCACCTTTCTCTGCCCGTCCCCTGCTCACAGACTCTCCCAAAATAAATAAATAAACTTAAAAAAATAATGAACAAGAAAAACAAGGACATTTCTTTTTTTAAAAAAGTTTATTTATTTTAAAGTTTATTTTGAGAGAGAGGGAGGGCATTTGTGAACACAAGCAGGGGAGGGACAGAGAGAGAAGGAGACAGAGAATCCCAAGCAGGCTCCTTGCTGTAAGTGGGGAGACCAATGCAGGGCTCAAACTCACAAACTATGAGATCATGACCTGAGACAAAAATCAAGAGTCAGTTGCTCAACTGACTAAGCCACCCAGGTGCCCCTGTTTATTTGTTTTTGAGAGAGAGAGAGAGAGAGAGAGAGAGAGAGAGAGAGAGAATCCCAAGCAGGTTCCACACTGTCAATGTGAAGCCCAATTTGAGGCTCAAGGCTCAGTCTCAAGACTGTGAGATCATGACCTTAGCCAAAAGCAAGAGTCGGATGCTTAGCTGACTGAGCCACCCAGGCATTCCAAGGACATTTTTTATTTATCCTATCTCCCTCCTCCTTCCACTTGTTACTACTAAGCTTTCAATGGAATATGCAAACCTTAAATGAAAACTTTCTCTGCACTTGGATATGTACAGGCAACAAGCCAGGAAACCTAAATCACATTCCCAGTTGTTTCTCTAATATGCTAAGAGATCTTGGCTAATTGAATCTTTTTTAAGGTTTAGTTTCTTCATTTGAAAAATGAAGGTGTTAGAATACAATTTTAGCTATAGCATTCATTTCTGTGGTTAGACAACAGCAGGTAGAGCTCTTTGCTATTGGTTTCTGCCACCCTTTCCCAGGGTCAGGCCATTCAACAGAGGACCCATGGGCCCATGTGCTTACATTCCTGGATGGTGACTAGTGGAAGGAGAATGTCCAGCCCCTGCTGAGGAGTTGGGATGAGTCCATTCATTTGTCCATGTACTCATTCAATCAATCATTAGCCAGGCCTACAGTGTGCCAAACCTTAGGGGATGAAGGTGAGAGCCACTACCCTCAAGAAGTTCAGAGATATTGGTTCACAGTAATTCCTAAGTAAGAAACAAGATCTCGTGAATTTGAACAAACCAGAAGAAAAAGAGGAAGAGTCATATACAGATCACCCTAACCTCCAGTGCTAACTGTAGTGACTGGGTATACATAAAGGCTTATGGGAGCAAGGAAGAAAGCACCCTGTCCACTACAGAACAGGGTTAGAGGGCCAGGGATGGTTTTGAGGGGATTTAAAAAATAAATAGGAGTTTGGTTCATTCTTTCAACAGTTATTGGGCACCTTTGTGAAGACATGTGCACAGCAATGGAAAATGGCCATAAAATGAAAGATAGATAGTCTAGGAGATGAGAGGGAGGGAGGAAGGAGAGAGGGAAAAAAAGATGTTGTAGACAGAAAAGTAAAGAAACAACACACCTGCAGTTATCACTACATGAAAACAGAATAATATTAATGGCTAACGCTTCGTGCTTGCTCTTTGCTAGGCACAGTTTTAATTGCTTTCCACGTACAGATTTATTTCGGGGACAGGCACTGCTATTATTCCTCTTTTACAGTTAAGAAAAAGATAGAGAGTTTATTTAGGCAACTTGCCCAGGGAAATGTGGAGAGGATGAGGTAGGTTTGGGATTTGAACTCAGACAAGTCAGACTCTGGAGTCTGGGCATTTAACCACCATGCTATACCACCTCTGCACATACATAACAGCTGAACACTCATCCAATGTAAATTTAGTAGGGTTGGTCTATTTTAGACCAATTCAAAATACAGAGCCAGTTTAAAAGAATAAATTAGTACCCACAGCTATAAATATTCTTCTTAAAATTACACTATCATTTCCTTTATATAGCTTCTTTTTTTTTTTTTTAACCTTCGCTAAACCTCCCCCAAATTCAGCCTTTATGACTGAATCTTTGGCCAAAAATTAACGCTTAACTAGAGCAGGAGAAATTCTGATCCACTTGGGTCTTCCTAGGTCAGAAAAAGAAAACGTTTGAAAATTGAAAAGTGTGGTTATTTTGTTGTATGAAGATTAGTAGCTCTGACTCATAATAAATAAGTGAAAAATGAGGTCTTATGAATTTGAAGAAAACCTGATGGACAATATGTTAACGTTTTTTGTAAGACAATCTTGTCACATTCCTCCCCCTCATATTTAAGTAGTAATATCATTAAGAGTTATAAAATTTCTTATTTGATTATAGGGTTTTTTGTTTTCTTAGTACCACTCATTTTTATAACTATGAATTTATATAACGACATTATCTGGAGATACAAAGTCATGCAACTAATTTTGGTCTCGTTGTTGTTGCTGTTGTTGGGCTTTAACTGGTAACTGAAAGAATTTAGGGACTAAATATTAAAAAATAAACAACATGACATACCCAATCTCATAATATAGCTTCACAGCACAAACATATTTGAGGGTTGATGTAAAAGATAACTTTTTTGTCACTATAGAATTATCTTTCATTAAATAATGAGAATCTTAAGTCTAAAGCCTGAACTTTTTCTCTCAGAATTCTCTCTAGACCCTCAAACCCGTGGACACCTTTCCTTCTTCTGAACTTCCGTGACATTCACTCCCTCTTGTATCATTGGTCCTTATCACGCCCTGCCTGAAGCATAAGTAGTTGTTGTTTATGTATATACTATTATTATCTTGCTGGAGTATAAGTTCTCCAAGATGGGGACGGTGATTACATTCCTCTGTATCCTCTAATACAAACTACCACACGGTAGACCCTCAGTAAATATGTATGAATGAGATATTTGATCAACTACATACCACACTGAGTAATTCAAGCTAAAAACTTTCATTAGAGAACATTATTTAAACAGTCTGTCAGGGCGCCTGGGTAGCTCAGTCGGTTAAGTGTCCGACTTTGGCTCAGGTCATGATCTCATAGTTTGTAGATTCGAGCCCGGTGTCGAGTTCTATGCTAACAGCTGAGAGCCTGGAACCTGCTTCCGTTTCTGTGTCTCCCTCTGTCTCTGCCCCTCCCCCCCAATAAATAAACATTAAAAAAAATTTAAACAGTCTGTCAGTCTACATTGAATCAAATGGGTGATTTCAAAGTTCCATTTCATATTAACTGGTCACACGCAAATAAATGCAAATAAATGATTAAATGCATCGGAAGAGTCAGATTTAAATCAAACAATTGTTTTAACTGTAGAAACAGTGTTGACACATATAGGCCATGTCTTCTATTTTATTTACATATTTTTCCTCAGTATCTAGTACATTCCCAAGAAAAGCCCAATAAATGCTGGGTGATGTTGAATGTATATCTATATGACTACAGCTTTGCAAATGTTGTTTTAACATTTATATTATGCTTATTGCTAAGCATATTATATGCATATGCTTATTGCTAATTTATATTGCTTCCATAAATGTATTTTGATAGGTTTCTATATCTGTTTTTAATACTGAATTTTTAATAAATGATTTGAAGTCAGGAAAGAATCAGTTGTCCCCAGCTAATGTAAGAAAGTAAAAACAAAATATCTGTTTTCTGATAAGTAAGCCACACATTTTTTGTAAGTTTGTTTGTTTGTTTGTTTAGAGAGGGAGAGAGAATCCCAAGCAGGCTCTGTGCTGTCACTGCAGAGCCCGAAGTGGGGCTTAATCCCACAACCGTGAGATCATGACCAGAGCCAAAATCAAGAGTCAGACGCTTAACCGACTGAACCACCCAGGTGCCCAGCCACACTTTCAATGTGCCGTTATCCTCCACTTCTCTTTCTTTTGGGACTTTCTCCTGGTGTTTAGAGAGTCATATGAATATGGCTGGTGGATCTAAACGCTAAGGCTTGCCAATTATACAATGGTTAACAATTTGAAATTTTCTCTGGCATCTGGAATTAAAATAGAAACTCCAAATAGCATTTCCATACCAATTTCATACCACTTCCATATTAATAGTTTCCCAGACTCACCTTTCACAAGTGACAAACACACGGGCCTTGATAAAGAGTTTTCACTCTCTGGGACTTGGCCAAGCAATGAATGCCTGTGGTAGACAGGAACATTGGGTGGATTTTATCTGGTAAGCATATTTCAAATACATAATTTATGCCACAATTTCCTTGGAAGTTTTGTAACATTATGATAAAACAAACTCATGCATGGAGAGACAATTGTCTTTTTACATATGGAAGTTCTCTGTCTAGCTCCAACTATTCCATTTGCATATAGTAAAAAACCACAGTGAAGACTGAGCATGTTGAGCAGTATTTTAGTAAGACCTTGACCTAACAGATACTAGTTTCACAGTCAAGCAGAGCCAGCCTTAGGCAAAGACAGGGATTGTATTGGGCATCATGGTCAGTTGGGGCTCAACGCTTGGAGCCCTCTCTTGAACACAACTAGTTCTGTTGAGAGAAGGACAATGATTAACATTCCCAAATCAAAGACATTTTAAGTGTCTAGCAGTTGGCTGGGTTTAAGTCACAAGTTACTGCACAGCTATAAATTAGGCCCCAGCCACACCAACATGGGTGCACCAGGCTAGTATTTTCCAAATTTACTGACGACAAAACACTGTCAAAATTTTAGTACGCATGTGTGTTTGGATAAAGGTACACAGTAAAGAAATGATATCATATACACCTTAAATTTACACAAA